ACACCTGCGAGGCAAGCGCTCTACCACTGAACTATGGCCCCAGCCCCATGTACCACATTTGATTGATCCATTTTGTTGCTGATGGAAATCTGGGATATTTCAGTGTTTTACTGTTATAATGTTGCTATGAACATTTGTCTAATTTCATCTATGAACACATATCGCCAGCTAGCCGGACTGGCGACCTGAGCTGGCTTCACAAGAGCTGACCACGTCAGTAACTAAGAAAACAGCAAAGAAAGCACACAACACACAGAAATACGTTTTGCTTGCAGGAATCAGGGATGGCTCTCAACCTTAAAGGTCCATTGGAAAAGAGAGAGAAAGCACACTTGAGACCCTATTTATTGAAGGGAAGACACTTGAGAAAGTTCCACCCAAATGAGGCAAGGGATTGGGTTTCAGCGGGGTGTAGCCCAGGAATGCCCACTCCCAGAGCTGTAATTCTTTGTGGAGCAAAGGTGAGGTCCGCCTGCTTTGAAGCCAGTTTCACACATCCATTACTCAAGGCTCAGCTCCTACGTGCTCAGCTCCTGTTTATGGCAACCCCCAAGAAACACACACAAAAGTACCTCTAGGTAAATATTGAGGCAGAGGTGGGGAGGTTACAATAGGTTGTAGAGAGTTTAAGATCAGCTTTATAATACTAAGGTTTTCTCCAAATTAGTTACTGCAATTTTTTAACTAATTACATTTGTACTAGCAGCGAATGAACATTCCCACTGATCAACATCCACAAAACACTTTGGCATTGTCAGACTTCTTAATTTTTGCCAATTTCATGAGTGAAAAATAGTAACTTATTGAGGTAATTTGCATTTCCCTGATTATTAATCAGGTTGAACATCTTTTCACACGTTTAATTGCCATTTGTGCTTCTCCTGAATTATCTCTTCATGTCATCTGTCCATCTTTCTACTGGGATGTCTCTGTTTCTAATTATAGTAGTTCTTTATATATTGTAGAATGATTTACTAGTGCAATGTTTCACAATATTTCTTTTTCCAGTATTTGTCTTTTCATATTATGATCAGAAGTTCTTTATTTTAAGGTAATCAAGCATATTAGTCTTGTATGTCACAGTACTTCTCATGTCTTATTTAAGAAATACATTCCTGCCCAAATATCATAAAAAAATCCTATATAAACTTCTAAAAGCTTTAAACTTTAGAATTCTAAGATCTTTTTGGGGGGGGAGGGGCGGTGAGTAACCAGGGATTGAACTCAGGGGCACTTGACCACTGAGCCCATCCCCAGCCCTATTTTGTATTTTAGTTAGAGGCAGGGTCCCACTGAGTTGCTTAGCACCTCGCTTTTGCTGAGGCTAGCTTTGAGCTGGCGGTCCTCTTGCCTCAGCCTCCCAAACTGCTGGGACTACAGTCATGCACTACCTTGCCTGGCTTAGAATTCTAAGATCTTAATGCATTAGGAATTCTTTTTCACTTTATCATAAGGAAGAGATCCAAGAGCTCATGTTCCAGCCCCAATTACTGAAGGCCTGTTTTCCAAACCTTCCACCATCTTGTTTCTTACTTTCATTCTATGAACATTTATTAAATCCATCCTTTGTATCAGGCTTTCTGCTGGAGGTTCAAAATAGAATCAAACAGAATTGGGTATAAAGGTGAAATCAGACAGCTCTATTGCTATACAGATGTAGGTAGTATTACTAGTCACGCACTGGTGGGGAGGGGAGGAAGACCACAGCACACTGCTTAGTCTTGTGTTCCACTATGATTTCTTATGTCCACTGAGTCAACAAGTTACTTATTTTGAAAGTTTTAAATCATGACTACAAATTAATTGATATTCCCCAGACTGTGATGTAGTATCCCTTAAATCTGGGCCCCTCACAGTGACTGGTCTTCTATGCTAGCTTTCCATTGCTAAGTCAAAATTTAATCAGCTTATGAGTAGGTAAAATTTATTCTGACCTGTAGTTTCAGAGGTTTCAGTCCATGGTTGCTTGTTCTATTGTTTTTCTGGGCCTGTGGCAAAGCAGTTTATCATGGTGTCTGGGAGGTAAAGACGGAGAACGCAAGGGACTACGATATTAATATTCCATTCAAGGGCATGCCCCCAATGACCTAACTTCATTCCATGAGGCCCCATTTTTTAAGGCTCTACTACTTCTCAATATTGCCACAGGCTGGGGACGAAGCTTTCAACATATGAGACTTTGGAGATCCAAACTGTAGCATCATCTAATATAACATGCAGTATACGGCAGAAGTGAAGCTATGTAATTCCAAAGACAGGTCAAAGCAGTTCCTATGTGGTTTCCTGGCACACTGATGTTGGGGCCCTGATTCTCCAGTACAGAAGTCCTTCTACCCTAATGCAGTCATGTGGAAGGAAGCCCAATTAACCCACATAAAGAGATTACTTGAGTATGTCCCCGTGTAATGGACTGAACTTTGTCCTTTCAAAATTAATTTGTTGAAGCCCTAACCCCCAGTGACTCTCTTTGGAGATGGGCTTTTGGGAAGTAATTTAGGTTAAATAAGGTCAAAGGGTGGGTTCTAATTTGAAAAGACTGGTGAAATTACAACAACAAGAGGAGCAGATACTCATCCCCACACCCCAAGCATGCACTGAGGAAAGGCTGTGAGCACACAATGGAAAGGGGCAGTCAGAGAGTTCTCATAAAAACCTGATTATCTGGCATTTCTTATCTCAAGACTTCTGGCCTTTAGAACTGTGAAAAAACTAATTTCTGTTGTTTAAGTCACTCAGTTTATGGTACTTTGTTACAACAGCCCCAGCTGATCAAGCTACCCAGAGACTACACAAAGAAAAAGATCCTTGATCAGCTCCTTCCTGTCCACTTCAAAACTAGCCATCAATATTGGAAACTACATATGTGACCCCAAATCAGAACTGCTCAAATGACTCCTTCCTGAATTTCTGATCCACGGAAACTCTCAGAGAAAATAAAATGACTGCTCCTATTTCTGGCTGCTAAGTTTTGGGGTAACATGTATCTGTGGATGACGGGAATGTTCAGTGGGCAAGATTTGTACAAAGAACTGTGAAATGTAATTTCACATTTCTGTTTATTAACCCTAAGTGAAGAATATAGCGCTAGAAAGAAAATATAGAGCTAGAAAGAAAATTAGATTATTTGGAAATGAAATAAAACTAGGAGAATATAAAGGCCATCACTCATAATTATCCAATTTGGATAAGATTATATTTGATTATTATCTGTTTTGGTGGTATCTTGGGAACTCAGTATTATTATAGTAGAACATGCCTGAAGTTGCTGACTTCATATTAATTTAAGATCTGATTTATCCAGCTTAATGAAGGCTTTGTATAGTATATCATGGTTATCTTATTTTTCTTACACTATTAGCACAGAAAAAGAAACAGATTATTTGGATTATATCTAAGTGTCCTTTAGGTACAAATGGGATGAGACTTACTGCTTATTAAAGTATCCAACCCTAGCAGAAACCTGATACTGATTATTCTACATTATAAAAAATATCGTCTAAATAATTGCCTGTTAAGGAAGGTGTTTTAAAGTAAATAAATTCAAGTAATAACTTTCACTGAAAAAGGAAACACAATAGTTAATATTTATTATTCTGATATAGCTTTCACAGAAACTTTAGAGGATTCTGAGAACATTCTGAGAATGTTCACCCAATAATCCACATGTAAGAGAGCAATTGCTCTGTTGGAAAGAGGAGAAATTATGGAACCAAATTTGAAACTGCTTTAAATCATTACAATAAAGTCCTGAAATGAACCAGCCTACCCCTTGATGAGCACACTGGTGTCTATCAGGTCACTAGGGTATGCTAGTCTACTCTATATGTAGCATTTATCCCCAAATTCAGTGGGATCAGTTCCAAATGTACACAAAATTTAAAAGTATGACAAGGAAATCTAAAGTAACAGGCTTCCATATCTAATATTCATATGACTCAGAGAAGGTGGAATAGTAACAAAAAAATTATTCCAAATGAGAATTTAGAAGTCATGATATGGTAGTTAAACTGATCTAAGCAATTTAGCGAGACCCTGCCTCTGCAATAAAAGACAACAAAATCATGGCATTTGCAGGGAAATGGATGGCATTGGAGAAGATAATGCTAAGTGAAGTTAGCCAATCCCCAAAAAACAAATGCCAAATGTTTTCTCTGATATAAGGTGACTGACTCATAGTGCGCTAGGGAGGGGGAGCATGGGAGGAATAGATGAACTCTAGATAGGGCAGAGGGGTAGGAGGGGGTTAGAGAGGGGGCAGGGGGTTAGCAAGGATAGTGAAATGTGATGGACATCATTATCCAAAGTACATGTATGAAGACACAAATTGGTATGAATATACTTTATATAAAGCCAGAGATAGGAAAAATTGTGTTCTACATGTGTAATAAGAATTGTAATGCATTCTGCTGTCATTTATTTAAAAAAATCAATAAAAAATAAAAATTAAAATTAAAAAATGGGCTGGGAATGTGGTTCACTGGTTAAGCACCTCTGGATTTATTCCCTGGCACCAAAAAAAAAAAAAAAAAAAAAAAAAAGGAAGGTTAATTGAAGGAAATTGGAAATTCTAGGGAGAAATTCTGAAATACAGTATTTTGAAAATTTAAAGGGGTTTTTACGTAGAACTATCAAGTTCATAATGATTGAAAAGCCTTAGACTTATAGCTGTGCACACTTCTACCCTTGGCCTCTAATTCTTAAGTCAATGGAATTAGCAATTCAATATAAACCTATATGATATAACAATACATATTACTATGTAATGACCATTATTATAATCACTGGAAACAAAATAAAGGAAAATTCAAACTCTATGTATGCTAGGTCAAAGGTTCTTACTTTCTTAATTTTTTGTTTTTGGTGGTGGGCGGGATTGAACTCAGGCCCTCACGTGTGCAAGGCTCTTATTTTACTACTGAGCTACATCTCCAGCCCCCAGGTTCTTAATTTTTTTGTTGTAGGTTTTCTTTCCCTTTAAAGGAATTTATAACACCATTTACCTGTAAATGAACAATTCTCTTAAATATATCTTCTCTCATACTCATCTCAATATCAAAACGAGAAAGTCTTTTGTCAGCTTCAGTACTTGCTGCCCGTACTTCTTTGTCAGAGGACACATGCTGAGGGAAGTCTAGCATGGTTCTTTCCACTGTTGATAGAGAAAAAACACAATGCATACACTGGACCTGCCAAATCAATATTAAAGCCAAATACCTCCTGCCTAGATGAATGATTATGCCGATGTAAGTCTTTCATTTTATAGTTTCTGCAAATATTTCTAAGGCTGTCAAGAAACAACTAATGCAGGACTTGGCTGTTCCACTTGGCATCAACATGAACAGGAAGATGCACTGTGCACTTATCAAAATATTTTTAGGGTATAATTTATTAACTGGAAATGTATCAAGATAAAGTCATGTTTCCTATGCTGAGGCATCTTACGTTCCCTCCTTGGGAAGAGGGAACAGGATACATAAAAAGAGAACAATAGAGGACAGAACCTACTGGTTGTCAAAGGAATGGATACTAAATCAGAGGCAGCAGCTCTTGAAGGCTGGGCACCAGGTAATATGCTACAGAGAAGGCTGAACCTTGGAGAAAGACCGGCTCAGGGTTGGAAAAGTAGAGACTGCAACCTGGGGTCTGGCAGAGACAAAGCATGTTCAAGAAACAAGCAGATCAATTTAGCAGGATGTGGTTTTCTCAAAATAGAACTTACCACTTTTTTTTTTTCTTTACTATAGTCTTCTTAGAGAATCTAATAAAAGTTATGAACCTTATGCCAAATGTATACAGCATATAAATATTAAAATACTCTTATAATTTTAGAGAATTCTCTGAAATCTAAACAGACAATAAGGCTGAAAACCATCAAGTTAGCAGCTAGATACTGGGAGATGTTCCTATTAAACAATGATAGTTTGGTGGGGCAGTTAGCATCATGTTGAAATTGGTTGTTGGGTTTATCATATATTTACATTTTGACTTTAACTGGGAAAAACTCTGATTATCAATAAAATAATCAATACTATAGAACAAAACTGAGTAGGTTATAGTGATGTTTGTGGCTATGCTGTGACAATGAACACATTTTGATTATCTTCACTAATTTGCAGATGCTATGAAGAGGTAAAATTTACACATGTGATATAGATAGTAGAGCTATCCTTTACACACAAAGAAATAGTACAAACAAGCTACCTCACTCGTATCTGTCTTCTTAGAACACTGTTAAAATAAAGCTGTTAAAAATACCTGCCAGAAATATCGAATAAATCCACAGTATATATTTTTAAAAATCAAACTGTGAAATTTTATTTTATTCATCTTTTTTTTTTTTTTTTGGTACTGGGGATTGAACCCAGGGGCACTCAACCACTGAGCCACTACCCCTGCCCTATTTTGTATTTTATTTAGAGATGGAGTCTCACTGAGTTTCTTAGGACCTTGCTAAGTGGCTAAGGCCAGCTTTGAACTCACAATCCTCCTCTCTCATCCTCTCAAGCAGCTGGGATAACAGGCATGTACCACCATACTACTAAGAAATAGTACAAACAAGCTGCTTCAATCATATCCCGTCCTCTTATAACACTGTTACAAATAAAGCTGTTAAAAAATAACTGCCAGAAATATCAGAATAAATCCATAGTGTATATTTAAAAAAAATCAAACTATACAACTATGCAATCATATTTTAGCGTTTGGTTTAATATGCAATTTTATGTCTGTTGGCTAAGGAAAAAATGGAACAGAAGACTTAACTTTTAAAACAGACAGTATTTGTTTAAGTGATACAGTTCACTAAACAGTTGCCACTTTGGTTTGCTTTTAAAAATTAGCTCAAAAAGATATTAAGAAGGAATCAAAATTGTCCAAGAACTTAATTGAATAACATAAAATGTAGGTACCTAAAACCAGAAACATATTCTTAAACAAACAATAAAGCTGAAAACCATTTCCTTCCTTCCTTTGTCACAAAGACCTGGAACAAGACTTATGTTCTCCTTGCCAGACTATAAACAATGCAGATGCCCAGTCCCTGGCACTAGACTAATGAGATTTTAATGGCTACTGTGAGGTTAATGAACTCTCAGAAAATACATGGACAAGAAAAGGTTGTTTTTTAAAAAAAGTCTACCCTCAAACTGAAAAATTCTGATAATTAATCCACAAGACTTTTTGTTTTCCCTGTTGGTTTTATACCAGTCAAATGCATTACTAGGCAGGCACACCATCCTGGCTACAAATGATTGAAGACTGTAGTAGGCACCTGGACCAATGACAAGGACAAACCACATAAAGGTAGAAGACACACATGAAATTACCTGCTGGAAAAGCTCTGCTGAATAGGGACCAACTCCATCCCTTTGACTTTGACTAAGAAGACCAAGCAGATCCTTTCATTCAGAAGTTTAAACTCAAGACTTATAAGATGTAGTGGCCATTACTGAGAGTAGAATAGTTGGTAGTGGTGGTAGATATGGAAACAAATGCAAGAGAAGAGAAAATAGCCAAGATCTTATTACAGTGGGACACAGGGTAGAGAACTCTAGGTGATGAAGAGTTAGTAGGGGCAAAGAAATGATGAGGTCACTAGGACTGTGCTGGATTCTGAATCTTTATGATATCCACATCTGCAGCTTTTTTATATTCTCTTATGACTCCTCAATAGACAGTCAAGTTGTTTCACATTATCCTACAAAATATGTCCAATTCTTAAAAGTAACCAAAGTGCACCTTCATTCCTTATAGCCCAAAGGCTTTCATACATTATTAAAATAATATATGTTCAGTGCAGAGAAAAAATAAAGAAATGCATAAAGAAGAATGCTAAAATCAACAGTAAATCTCTCACCCAAAACATTAATCACTGTGATAGTTGATTTGACTTTATTTTTTGGCATCAGGGATTGATTTTATGTGTTATTTGATGATGTGACTTTTGATGAGACAAACATTTAATTGGTGAAGTTGAAAGTAGACTGCCCTCCAGAATGTGGGGAATCTTGTCCATTCTGTTGCGGGCCTGAACAGAACAAAAAGGTTGACTTCTCTAGCAAGGGAGAACTCTTCAGCAGACTGCCTCAGATTTCATCTGCACAACTGGCTCTCCTGGGTCTTGGGCTTGCTGGTTCATTCTCCAAGTTTCAGACTTGCCACCCTCCCAAGTCATGTTGAGTCAATTCCTTATAATAATCTCTGTTTCTATACACACATACACACACACACACACACACACACACACACACACACCCTACAAACGCACACAGGAACACACATCCTTTTGGTTCTGTTTCTCTGGACAGTGCTCACTAATAAAACTATCATTAAATTTTGCTTATTTCTCTTTTAATTTTCCTTCTGTGTGCTTTTCTCCTGTCTTTAAACACTGCTTCTAACTGTAATTGTAATTTCTACAGAAAGTTATAGAGGATGGATGGGTCATAATTTATATAGCCATCAAATTGTGACTATAAACCCACAATTCTATTGGTTGACACTTTGGGTTTTTTTGAGCTTTTGCTATAAAAGTGCCTATTTATACATTAATTTATACAAAAATTTTGTCTGTATTTGATTATTTTCTTAGAAAACAATTCCTAGTTGTGGCACTGCTGGGCTAGAGTATAAAATTCTTTTTCTTTCTTTCTTTTCCTTTGTTTTGGTACTGAGAATTGAACCTAGGGGAACTTTACCACTAAGCTACATTCCCAGTCCTTTATATTTTTTATTTTGAGACAGAGTCTTGCTAAATTGCTAAGGCTGGCCTTAAGCTTACAATCCTCCTTTCCTCAGCCACTCAAGTTGCTCAGATTATAAGCATGTTCTACCATGGCTGGCTTAAGGTATGGAACTTAAAAGTTTTGATATTTATTGTCAAAATGGTGTCCAGAAAACAGTGTAATAAGAGTGCACAGTTTATAGCATTTTTGCCAACATAATAAAATGTATAAATCTTAGGCAATTTAATTTTTGTTTGTTTTTTTAATTTTAAAATTTTATTTATTTTGCGTTTTGTATATTTTCTTAGGCAATTTAATTCTAAGCAACCAACCATTCTATACAACCAATCTCTCATAAAACTAGAAATCTGACTGCCAAAACTGAAAGCATAAAATGGTTTTAGATGTACACAAAAAGGAAATACAGATATGTTTGTTCATCCTACCCACCTATGTACTTCACTTCTACGTCCGCCAGCACCTGTAAACAGTTCTCATAAGTTACTTCTTCCACGTTGAGCATTCCAACAGCATCATACACCTGTTTGGTCTGTACAATGAGTTCCTCAGTTCTTGTTTTAATTTGCTCTGGTGAAAGATCCCATCTTAAGACATTTCTGCCAGCTGCAGTATAGGAAGACACTGTCTGAAGGGAAGATGTCACTTCTCTTCCTAATGTCATTCTGAGTAAAATCCTGGAACCACCAACTCTAAAAAGAACAGAGATAAGTTATTTCAAATGTGTACTATAAAATTAAAGTTAAATCAGAGATATTTTTTAGAAAACAGATCACATTCTCTGAGATGAACACATATGCATGAAACTAAATGCTCTGGTGTTTTTATTTTTTGCATAATTATAGTTTTAATGGAATTCACACTGTCAAAACACTGAATTGCTTATGCAATGAAATTATAGAAAAATAAAATTAGGTATCAGGGACATGATAACTGTCCTCTATAAATTAAGCTAAGTCTTAACTTTGCTAATTTCTACCTACTATATGTATAGACTCAAAAAAATTCTGCAGGTTTAGCAAGTAATCATTTGAGAAATTCTGTTTTTTATACTGAATACCAAATTTTTCTCAAAATTTTACATAAATAATTATTTGAATTTACATTATTTTATGTAATTAATTATTAATTTACATTAATAATGATTTGAATTTATTTGTGGAAAATAATCTCTGGTATAGCTATTAATTATAAAAGAAAAATCTATTATTAAGAATAATGATACTTTAAAACACTATAATATTAACATTAAACAACAATAATAATATTGGTGCTGTGAGTTTATCTTTCTCACCACCCCCTTTCTCTCCATTACCCCTGCAATCCCCGCTTACTTCAGAGCTTATAAATACACAACTAAAAATATAAGTGTGTATTTAGGTACTGTTTGAAATGCTTTTCAGGTAGGTCCTACTCAGTCACTCAGTCCTTCAACAGCCTCATGAGTTTTATACTGTAATTATTCTTGTTTTACTGAAGAGAAAATAGTCGTCAACCTAAGACCACACAGCTAGTGAGTGGTAGGGTGGGAGCTAGGATTAAAACCGAGCAGTACAGATCTGGAACCCACACTCTTACCATACTAAACTTCATTCCTCCTATTTTGTAAGACGGAACAACAACTTTATGGGGGTAAGAAGAGCATTATTCCCTTTCTAACAGATGAGGCAGTTGAGACTCAGAGAAGCTAAGTAACTTTTTAAAGGTCATTTGCCCAAAGACTATTTCTGAATATGTACTATACGTTGTCACTGTGACAAGCACTGAAGATAAAATGACAAACTGACTGAGACGCTGCTACTTTAATTCAGCAGAAGAGACAAATGGATTAATATGCTCTTTTGAGATAAGTGCTATGATGGGGTAAGTAGAGGGAACTCTGAAAGTTCACAGCAGGCATCCATTCTGGTCTTGGGATGGGGAGAGGGTGTTAAGGAAGATTTTCTAGAAGGAGCAATGAATGAGATCTGAACACTTGTAGGAACGATCCAAAGGGCAAAGGCTGTAAGGAGACAGAAGGCTGAAAAGGTAAATAGGGGTTAGCAAATGAGGAGCTTTAGGAATCACTGAATCATTTATCCTTGTTTTCTGATTTTGGTTTGTTTTTATTTTCTTGCAGTGCTGGGGACTGAACCCAGGGCTTCACACATGCTAGGCAAGCAGTCTAGCACTGAGCTACATTCCCAGCTAAATCTCCAGCCTTTTCTTATTCTGAAAGCCAGGACTGGGACAGGAGAGCCATTTCAAGGTTTTAATCAGGTGAGAGATAATAATAAGGTTTGCCTTTTAGAGAAGTAACTCAAATTATAATGAACTAAAAGATGTGTAAAAGGTCATTCCAGAGAAAAGTTGTCAATGTATTTGGGGCATATGATTAAGGGATACTAAACTAGGAAATAGGGGGATCTGGAGTAATTAAAAAGATATTCAGAAGGCAAAGTAAATATGACTTGGTAAACATCCATTACAGATGTAAGCGGGCAGAGAGAGAGAGTAAAGGATAATGTCCAGGTTTCTGTCCAGCTTAATGGATGGGCTGGTGGTACTGCTTACTGGTATAGGGAACACAGAAGGAAGAGGCAGATTTTCTTTTTCTTTTTTGGTACTAGGAATTAAATCCAGGTTGCTTAACTACTGATGCACATCCCCAGCCCTTTTTTAAATGTTTTATTTTGAGACAGGGTCTTGCTAAGTCTTTAGGGCCTTGCTAAATTCCTGAGGTTGGTTTCGAATTTGCAATCTTCCTACCTCAGTCTTCCAAGTCGCTGGGACTATTGGCAGGAAGAGGTGCCTTTAAAGGGGAAAAAGGATAAAATCAGTTTTGAATATGAAAAGTCCGAAGTGTTTATAGCCCGTGTAAATGGAATTCACTAATTGTATATGGTAATTGTACCTACAGAGGCGGTTGAACAGACCTGAGGGAACTGGCAGAAGGAGAAGAGAAAAACATCTGGGGTCTTAGTATAATCAATGAGGCAGGCAGAAGGGAGACTGGTTAAGATGTGTTCTAGGAAGTTGTGAAAAGGAAGCAGTGAAGAAAGGGAGGACATACACTCAGCACCTGACACTGTGCAGGTGGGAGGAGGACCCCATTCTCAGCGAAGACAGCAACAGGGAAGTCCCTGGTGACTCTGGTCAGAGCATCATCAGTAGAGTGGCAGGAACACAAGTCAGATTACCACTGAGGACTGGGAAGGTGGCAAGAGCTGAAGAGAGTGGTCGTAAGCAATAATCTCCAGATGTGGCTGTGAAAATAAGGAGAGCTAAAGCAGCATAGCTGGAAGGGGCTGGAGGCACAAAAGGAGGGTGTCTTTCCTGTCTTAAAACAGGAAATACTATCTTCAGCTGTCTCTTTTATGCGAAACATTACTGGTTGATGCTTGAAGACTATTTTCTCACTATGTTTTCATCTCTTCAATCATCAGTTGAGTTATATACTAACTAAGGATGAAGTTAGGTACTAACTAAGGATGTATTAACTAATTAAATGTGTGAAAAATAGGGATCTGTTGTTTCTGGGATGGATAAAAAGTTTTAGAAATACTTTTAAAAATGTATTTACTGGGGCTGGGATTGTGGCTCAGAAGTAGAGCACTCACCTAGCATGCATGAGGCACTGGGTTCGATCCCCAGCACCATATAAAAATAAAATAAAGGTATTGTGTTTACCTACAACTGAAAAATAATGTTAAATTTTTTTTTGGGGGGGGGACTGGGATTGGGGCTCAGCAGTAGAGTGCTCGCCTTGCACGGGCAGGACCTGGGTTTGATCCTCAGCACCACATAAAAATAAAGGCATTGTGTTGTGTCCATCTACACCTAAAAAATAAACATTAAAAAAAATTTTTAAATGTAGTTACAAAAAGTCAATTAAAAAAATTGCCATTATAGCTGGGTGCAGTGGCACATGCCTGTAATACTAGCAGTTTGGGAGGCTGAGGCAGGAGGATCATGAGTTGAAAGCCAGCCTCAGCAACAACGAGGTGCTAAGCAACTCAGTGAGACCCTGTCTCTAGATAAAATACAAAACAGGGTTGGGGATATGGCTCAGTGGTCAAGTGCCCCTGAGTTCAATCCCTGGTACCAAAAAACCAAAAGGAACAACAATAACAACAACAACAAAACAAACAAACAAAAAGCCCTTTGCCGTTGTAAAAAACTGGGAAAAACTCATGAAGACTCAGAAGGCTTCTAAACTCAGGTTACTTCTGTGCACCTTTAAAATTCTTGTTCTACACTTAAGAAATTGAACCTGGAAATTAAGGATGATGCATTTTAGGTGTAGTTTTTGCAAGGACAGTGAAATGTCAATTCAAGTCATGCATATGTAACAAAAAGACCTTGGTCTTAGATCAAAACATCCAGGAACATACACTTGTGTTTTAAGTTTGAATATAATATTTAAGGAAATTATTTTTTCTATTATTCTACTTAAAACCATTTTTTTCAATTAATTATTAAAAGACATATGGAGAGCCAAGATTCCCACAGAGGCAGGAAGAAATGGGATATAAAAATAGGCAGAGTCAGGCATGGTGGCATATGCCTATAATCCTAGAGACTTGGGAGGTTGAGGCAGGAGGATCACAAGTTTGAGGTAAGCCTGGACAATTTAGATACTGTCTCAAAAAAATGAAAAGAACTAGATGTGTAGCTCAGTGGTAAAGTACCTCAGTGTCACCAAAGAGAGAGAGAGAGAGAGAGAGAGAGAAAGAAAAAAGAAACCACACAGACACACAGGCAGAGCAATTTGTGTTAGGAAGATTCTCATCTCAATAACATTAATGAAATGGGTCAAACAGGAATAGTTAGATGATAATAAAAATGTGAGATATTTAAAAATCTCATAATATTTTGGATATTTCCAGCAATAAGGTAATATCCAGAGTATTTTCTTGGAAGTAGATGGTTGATATAAACAAGTTGAAGTGTACAAGGAACTGAGAGTCTACTTTGAACAAATTGTCTAATGAACACTGGAGTCAGCAAATGATGGTTGGCCTGCCTGGGAATAGATTTTTTTTTTGGGGGGGGGGGGGAGGATAAGGGGATTGAACTCAGGGGCACTTGGCCACTGAGCCACATTCTCAGCTCTATTTTGTATTTTATTTAGAGACACTGTCTCACTGAGTTGCTTAGCACCTTGCTTTTGCTCAGCCTGGCTTTGAACTTGCGATCCTCCTCCCTCAACCTCCCGAGCTGCTGGGATTACAGGTGGTGCCCAGCTGGCCGGGGAATAGAAAGGAAGACTGAACCAGGAACTAAAGTTTTTGAAGGGAGAGGAACCAAACCATAGTTGGAAGAGGTTATCATGTGTGATACATAGAATGGTGAAACCAGACTGACTCAAAGGTGTTCTGTTTTTTGTGATGCTGGGGACTGAACCCAGGGCCTTGCATGTGCACTCTACCACAGAGCTACATCTCCAGCCCACACAAAGGTGTTTTATACAGTGGTGGAGGTACTGATCTAGGAGCACCACTGAAGGTGGAGGTGTCAGCTAGGGAGCAGAGATGTTGATGGTTCCTCCTAATTTTGTGGTATAGGGTATAGAGAACAGATGGATGTAGTGGAAACATTTTCTTTATGGTTGAGTGGATTTTACCAAAGGTCAGGAGGGGAAAGGAAGATCTAGGGCAGAACATAAAAAAGTAGATTTTATCTATCCTGGGAAAGGGCTCCAGAAAAAAAA